GAAAATATGTCAGTCTGTATTACCTTGCTTGGTATGATGTAAGCTTTATATATCTTTTGTTAAATTGTGAATGTAAACTATGTTGCGTGACACGATGCAAGTAGGATAATAAATGTAACAATCCAATTAGGATTGTGTCTCATACTATACACACAAACATTGCAGTACCAGTGGTATGTCTACTGTGAGACTACAAACAGCTTTTTGAATCGCTTAGGAAGTGTGTCTTTGAAGTCGGTTGCAAAACAATGAAAGCTGTTGTTTATCTTAATGGCAAAACAGCTACTGTTTTTGTAATACATACTAATTTCGTTAAAAATTTGTCTGAAATAATGTTACTGTAATAATATAATAATAATAATAATAATAATAATAATAATAATAATAATAATAATAATAATAATAATAATAATAATAATAATAATAATAATAATAATAATGAACTACAGCGAGTGTAAGTGTTTGAAAGAGTTTTTATTATAGATTTCGAAATCAGTGTTTTATTTTCTTTTGCTGGATAAACACCGTCGGAAGACGGTCCTCGGCGATGATTCCAACAACGCAACGGGGCATGCGCAACGTTTCAAATTTGTATGTGTTTGTAGTAACTAAGGCTTAAATAGATATTGTCAAAATGTAGAAAATAAATCACTGAAATGTGTTTTCTGATATAGTCTTATTAGAAATACAGAATTTAATGCATGGATAAAGCTAGTTTATATTTTTATTAATCTATTTTCTTCAAAGATTAAAATAAAATTTTGTTGCTCAACTCCCCAAAAAACTGAAAATAATGTCGAGCATGCGCAGTTATAAAAAAAGTGTCTCAAGAACCAAACAGCGTCTGCGAAGAGGGTATGAAATAGAAACGGGAAAAATTGAGCTTTTTTATGCAACAATTAAGCATGCGCAACTCAGCTAACGCGATCATGCACGGTAATGACAATTGAAAATACAGTAATAAGAATTCCCGAATATCCTTGGCTATCGAAGGCCCAAAACACAGTGCATCATATAATCGTCAGGGAGAATTGTAATTAAAATTATCGCAAGCAACAATTTGGCTCTATCGTTGTACGACGTATGCATTGACCATCCGATAAAAAAAAACTAGCTAGCAAATCTAAAGCTAAAGCATAAACATCTAATATGATGGAATTTTATCTATAATTCGTCCAACCCAGTCAGCAAAATAATAATTTTTTTTTTAATTGAATACAAATAAATAGTATAAAATATTAAAAATAACAATAATATTATCAATAATAAAATAATAATAATAATAACATAATAATAATAATAATAATTATTATTATTATTATTATATTATTATTATTATTATTATTATTATTATTATTATTATTATTATTATTATTATTATAACAATAATGGTAGGAACACAAGCTAAAGAACGTCTATATGGGAGGCCTAGGCCTCCATCAAATCATATATCACACTTTCTACATTTCTAATATGGAGTACCTTTATAGTATGTTTTTTTTAAATTATTATTATTTTAATCCTGTGACAGCAATGTTAATAACTTTGTGGCTATTGTTACACCAGTCGTAAACCAATTCTACCTGCCTGTAGGCTATTATTTTTATGTTTATGTCATATAAAAGAATTGCATTGAAGATGATAAAGGTCATTCTCAAGTATACATTAATTTAATAAGTTTGAAAATACAAACCAGTCATAAGTTGTTTTTTAAAGGAAATATTTCTTAACTTGTTTATGATTATTACATATTATTCTAAACTGCAACCAGTTTCCCCGAAGTAGGCCTATATAGTATCCATACACTGGGTGCACCAAATAAAATAAATGACATTAGAGGCGTCGCAAGTAAGGGATGGTGGGTGTATGGTTAAGTTAGAATGGTGGATGTTGATAGTGTCATGGGTAATGATAAGATTGCAAATTTGGCACCGTGATTGCCACAAGGGCGATTAGCAAATTCAGGAGTGATAGTGGCCAAAACCGTCACCCGGGATTTTCGTCTTCTCACTAACTGCAATTCATCAATTCAGAAGCAATTAAATCACGACTTCTCATAGCATACTAACAACCTCCAAACCTTAATTCACTACTCACTTCATCTAAACTCCCCACTGTCACTGTGTTCTATTATCGGGATGAGTGAAACTTGGTGCAAAAATGATTCGCTCAAACCATATCTTAATGGGTATAATTTCTATTCTATTAATCATGAAAAAATTTTAATAAATTCAGCGCACAAAAGTTGGTTTGCTGGTATACGGTATGTATGTATAACATTAATTCATTACTACTATATTAAATAATAGATAGCCCTAGGCCTCTGTTAGATATAACAACTCCCTGGTTAGATAAACGTATGGCTAGATACAGAGAGTAATACGGAGATGTTGTTAGTTCCCCGGTTGTTCTGAAATTGCTTCATGGGACCCCAGAAATACACATCATGGGGTTTGTTAACATTATTTATTATCTCCTGTAACTATAAAAGCACCTACCCTAAAATCTAGCATGTAGTGATGAAACATGAATTATAAAATTTAAAAGAAACATTTTATTTCTTAATAATAAAACAATTGATTTATACTTGCAGGTCAGTCTATAATATAATGTGCCTTTGGACTTAATTACCGGTAAAATACAGCAACAACTACAGTAATGGTGCCCATAATGCAGTATCAGTGCCCAACAAAGGCTTAATATATATAACACCTAAAGTAGCAGTGCCCATAATGCAATACAGCGGACGAAAAAAAGTCAGTTATTCTCTACGACGTTTTATGATTCTTTATCACTAAAAATTAACAAACACTCGTTTTGACGCACTCCGTTCTGTGTGTCTGCTGTAGAAAACAAACTTCCCAGCCTAATTTTCTTGTGACTGGCTATGATGACTGAGATGGACCATGTTGATTTATTAATAATATTTTGTTTGGGATGGGGAAAAAAAGAGAGTCGATTTCCCCAAAATGCTCCATCAGCACATAGTTTAGTGTGCTCTATGGATAGTATGGCTATGGAATTTACTAACCACACAATCCACAATCAGATGATTAAGTCGCAAAACTTTATCTGCATTAGGTGGATAAAGTCGCAAAATTTTAGCTTCGTTTGGTGGCACCATTTACTCTAGGTAGACGGCGACCGGTTTCGTTACCGGGGTACATTTCTTACAAACATTCAGCCAAAGCCAGTGAAAGTTGAGACGACAGCCGGGTTTTTTATCGATGTTTGCCATCCTTGGTGCCATCGTAAAGTCATGGTTTGCTGGAGTTGCGTTCAATTTAAATCTCAAAACTTCTGAAGCTGAGATATTCTATGAATGTAGGGTTGTACCGCTGGCTACAATTTAAAAATGGGTGACCAATTATGAATTAGGTGCTAAATTTTGATTTAATGCTGGTAAGTTAAAAACAGACATTCCGTCCGAATGGGACTCATTCAAAAATTCGAGGGGGTTCGCTAGAAAACAGGGGGGTTCGCTAGAAAAGGGGGTTCGCCCGAACCATAACCCCCCCCCCCACCTTGGCTACGGGCCTGAATAAAATATAAGCAGGACAATTTAGGGGTTGGACGGAACAGCGAGACCAATTTAACCAAAGTTACCGTTTTACGTAACTCTAATTTATTCTTTCAGTCCCAGTGGATCAAACAGAAATGAACAATTGAATCACATTGAATCATTTAGAGCTCTATTAGGTATGACTTTATCACAGACGTGCCAACCCTTGGGTCATGAAAATCTGGAGATTTTTTTAAGAATCTTAAAAAAATCTGGATATAACCAAAAAATTTAGAGGTTTCCAGAATTAACCAAAAGATGATAGATACCAAAAAAAGTCACGTCACTAAATCATTGGCCGTTAATGGCGACATTCGATTTGAAAATGGTGTTTATTGCACCGCAAAGCGAGCAGGCGGCGAATACATTCTAATAAACTAAACGATCAAGTTTTGCATAAATCGGAGTCACTTTTGGAGAGGGGGGCCGGGGGTGGCCTGTGAAATCGGGTGAAAATTACATTCGATCGGGACTCACTGGAGATTTGTTTAAATATCGGGTGACACCCGACAAGATCGGGTGAGTTGGCAGGTCTGTTATCACCAGCCAGTATAGGCCAGGATCTGCTCATGAATGTATACCTACGTGGTTTGTCGTGTGCAAAAAATAAACCAATATTTAACTAAAATCAAAGTATAATCGATGTAACGCCTAGCAGAAGCACACATAGAGAACTTTAATTTAAAAAATTAACAATAAGTGATGGTACAACTCATCTAAGGGATTGATATATAATGTATAAATAATGCTAAATGCCGCATTGAATAAGTGTATTAAAATTGTATTAAACATCAGAGGGTTACGGTATAATTTGAATGGCGGATTAAGAGGGTGGGCAACCAACAATTCATGTTTTTGATCATTGTGAGCCAGGGAAAATGGGTGAAAAAGGGCCACAATATGAACCACAACCACTGATCTCTACTATAATAGCTGGATTGCTCATCGGCCAATCCTGGTTCAGAAAAAAGTGAGGCCTCCGATTCCATGTTGGAGGGCCTAAGTGACGTACCAGTTTATAAAATTTTCTTTTGGCATTTGTTTAAATTACAGTTAAAAATAACGATTCTTGCAATACTTTTCAATAATAAATTGAATAATAAGTGATTTTTTCAAACCATCTAACAACTAGACGTACAGTTTATGCAGTTTTCAAAAGCGCAAGTTGCTCGCACTTTCTTAAACTGCATAAAAAGTCAAGTAGATAGATAATCATTACGTTAAATACAAATTTATTATTACAAAGTTTTGCAAGAATCGTTATTTTTAACAATAATTAAAACAAATGCCAAAAGAAACTTGTCTCTTTGGCCCCACAACATACGTGTCGGTGGCCTCACTAAACCAGTGCCAAATGAGCAATAGTGGAGATTACTTACGAGAACTGATATTAATTGCGCCCTCTAGTTTAACTGAACAACATTCTCGTCGTGTTGTTTACAAACTGTACATGTGGATAGGTGTACTTTTAGGGGCTAGTGTACATTGACTAAAAACAACCATGCCGGGCAAAAAGAAGGCCACAACTGCCAACTTAGGTTCTCTTGTGATTAAAGATAGGTTCAAGGGTTCGAATGTGAAGAAGAAAAATGAGAATTCGTGGGTAAATACAATGATTTGTAGCATAGGCTAGGCCTACAATTCTGGGGCCTGGGCAGTGCCTTGTTTTTGATTACAGAAGGCCTGGCACAGACATGCGATCATGTCAGTAGATTTCTACACATAGAACAGACAGAGCTTTCTAGACTAGGGCTAGCAAGGTCCTAGGAGGTAGTCTTTGTCCTCTGCTAATCGACGTTGTTGCTGGCTGGCATTGTTACATCGACTAGACCCAGCTTGTGCACAGACCTATTCCTCAAAAATTAAAATCATTTCCTACCTTATTTATGTGTGTATGCCTAGGCCTGCTACAGTACAGAATTAATGAATGTTGAAACATATTAAGCATTATTTAAAGTGATTCATTCATACAGTCAGTGTAGATAACATGTTTACCTAATGATACTACTGTAATACCCCTCTATCATGCATATCTGTATGTTTTTCAAGGTTATTTTTGATTCACACTCACTGATAACAACCCACCCAACTCTGTCAAGGAATTCTATTTACAGTATTATCACTCTGGCATCAACAAATTTGCTTCATTTAGTTGAGTCCATCTTGCCTTGGTTTGCATATTGGATTTGTAAGATGAACCTCTGGTTATGTTTTGACCAGGTAGGCCTATCATTTAGACTAAGCTTAGTTTTTTTAAGGTAAGAATTAACCAGGTAGGAAAATAAGTCCCATAAAAATCATCATTGTTATTACCCTAACAAGTTTTAAAAAATATTTACTGAAACTTCTACCTGCCTATTCCTAGGAAATGTCTTGGCCCTACACCCCGGGGAGCTCACTTGCATACCACCAAACAACAGGGTGCCACAGCCACTTGAAGGCATGAGACACTTGCACTACCTATTTTACTGAAAATTCTAATGGACTTGTAACTACCATTTACCAAAATCGCACTGTGCTCTAAAAGACGACAGGAAAAGGGCTACTCAATAGTGCCAGAGAGGGCAAGGGGCTTACTGGCCCAGCACCCAATCTGGCTTGAATTTCCCTCTAACATCATGCGGAAAATGTGGCACTTTGACACAGGATAGTCCAGGGACTTTAATTTAACTACCAATTTCAATCTGGTTATTTCCCACACTTTTGCTACAAAATCCTTGTAAGTATACCCCATAAATGCTGCAACTCCCCCCATATTTCCCACACTTGTGCTACCAAGTCCTCAAAAATATACCCCATAAATGCAGCACCTCCCCGTATAGAAATATTTAAGAGTGGGCCCTACACCTAATGCATTTGTCCAAAATAAAAACCAAAATACACAATCCCAACTGATACTTTAATCATTGAATGTATTTTTTTCCCAGATGCACACAAGTGAACTACAAGATGGTTATGATTGGGGGCGCCTCAATTTGCAATCGGTCACCGAGCAGAGCAATTTGGACGATTTTTTGGCAACAGCTGAACTCGCCGGCACAGAATTTGCTGCAGGTAAACTCTGAAATGGTTGGTAGTCAATTAGATATGTAAAGGGTCCAAAGTCTCACTGAATTCGCAGGACTGTCTGGGAAATTGAGACGCCTCCCGCAAGCAAGCAAGAGTCTCCTGAAAAATAACCCGTAGTATACATGAATGTTTTCACTGCTTTTTAATATCAATTGCCTCACGGAAGTCAGTATCGATGGGTATGCACAATAAAAATTTAAAAAAAGTTTGTTTTTAATTGTATTTTTTTACTTCATAAACTTATATCTTTGTTATGTTTTATTTCAGAGAAAATGAATATTAAGGTTATCGACCCAAATTTGCATACAGGATTACCAAATAAGGAGGAGTTAGCAGAAATCAGGGAGAAGCATGCTAAGAATCAAAGTCTTCTTACCATACCCAGAAGGTATTTCAGATTATGTGTGATTTTGTTTGTGTGTGTGTATGGTGTATGTTTGATGGTAGTTGACAAACATGTCTGTTTTTGGGGTGATAAGACCAGTATTAAATAGGCTTTCTTTCAGCTATCATGAACATTATTGTTATCATCATCATCATTATTGTCATCATCATCATAGTGTTTATCATCAATTAATATTCATTATTTTTTGTTTTCCCCATTAAGCATTAATTTTCCTTTTCCTTTAGGCCACAGTGGAATTCAACTACGACCCCAGATGAACTTGAGAGAATGGAACGAGAAAGTTTCTTGAAATGGCGGAAACATCATGCAGTGTAAGAGGTTACAGGGTCAGGCCAATATTTAAAGTAGTAGATTAGATTGGATCTAATGATGATGATTGCCGTCTTAATCATCATAATATTATATCTACACCAGCAAATCAGTATAATTTCAATTTATTTTCATTGCGGTATAAATAATAATAAATAATATAAATAAATTTGGTAGGTGGGTTAGTTACGAATCTGATTATTTTGTCTTTTCTATTATGTAAGAGTTAGGGCTAAGACACATGATTTATTTAGTGGACAATGTTCGTAAACAAACTTGAAAGTGAATTGCGCCTATCGATATGCCGACAACTTACGCATTGGGCGGAGTTTTCTCACGGCTGCAGACATGAAGTACGATCGCCGTGTTGAGTGTTGGTGTATTCAAAGTGCACTATCTGCGTTTTGTATTGTAGTAGAGATCGCTGATAGTGTACAACAAACCGTCTAAGACCGAGTGGATAAACTCCAGCACGCGCCTAACGATTAATTTTTGACATGCGTGTGTGTTTTGTACATTAAATAGAAACTTTATGACAACAATGACATGATTTTACATTCGTAAAATCGGGAATTCGTAAATGAGGGGTTCTACTGTATTTCACTTCAGCCCTCCAGCTAAAACAGGTTTTCAATGATAAATACACTACAACATTTCATTTTTGGCCAGGCAATGTTAATTTTTGTAATATTTATGTCAACAATATTTTGTATGGTTGGTCCATTCAACCAGAGCTGGTCAGTTGAGGACCCACATACATACAGTACATGACATAAATATTCGAAGGATATCAACAATAACAAACATACACCACATACACACAACATAGGTTCATGTTGATTGACATGGGCATGCACAGTTCAAACTACAAAATGGTGTATTGTTGGAATGAAAAGAAAGTTGTATCCATTTTCTTTTTCCTGCCATTGTTTAGCATACAAGAGGAAATGCAAATACTAATGACGCCGTTTGAACGCAACTTGGAAGTTTGGCGCCAGCTGTGGAGAGTAATCGAGCGTAGTGACATCGTTGTGCAGATTGTTGATGCGAGAAACCCACTCATGTTCAGATGTCCAGATCTGGTAACTTATGTTTATATAAACAACATTTTCAAAAACTTAATCTCACTTTGAACTAGCTATTTGAGACATGGATTTAACAAGAGTAAAAATATTTTCTGAAGACTTTGAATCGAACTTCCAATAAATTCTTTTAAGAAAGGTTACTGGGCGACAACCTCTACTAATCTGACCAACGACAGAAAGGTTATTAGAAGATACAACAGATATTGAATCAAACCTTTATAAAGACATTCACAGGTTTTTTGATCAATACATTTTAAGGATAAAAAAAAAATAATGATATTTGTAGAGAAGGTTTCTCGCGCTTAAAACATCTTCAATGTCACTTAAGTAAATTGATGATTATAATGCAGATACTTTCATAGTCAAGGACACATGTTTTTCATGTAATTATACAATAATTTGTGCTTTGTTTTTGGTTTTTTTTTCAATTTTAGGAGAAGTATGTAAAGGAGGTTAACCCTCTGAAGGAAAACATAATTCTGGTAAATAAAGCAGATTTGTTGTCCAAGGTGCAGAGACAGAAATGGAAGAAGTACTGCACTGATCATGGAATACAAGTAGCCTTCTGGTCAGCTAAGGCAGAAACAGATCGGATTCAGAAGGTAAAGACCAAAACACTGATGGTTTCCCATAGTCATTATTGCTACTTTACGCCATCGTGTCGGTATTCAATATTTCGACATTAATTATGTCATCATCAGGGATGAATTATTGCTACTGTTTATCTTATTTTAGAATATTAAGATGGTACAGAATTAGTATTGGTTGTGGTGTGGTTGATGTTGATGATGATGATTATATTTGGTGGTGATGTATTAATATTGCTCAAACTATCAGTCACATTATCATTGGCTATTCACTTTTTTAAGAAATACAACAAAAATCTGTCTTAAATCCTTAAACTGAGATTGATATGCAAATTTCTCTGATAATCACCAGAATGATCACAAAAAATATTTTTTATCTTGTATGAATAACAATTTATTTTTGCACAAAACACTTGGAATAATAATTGTAACATAATAATAACAATAATGATGTGTGACAGTGATTCTAGTGTTGAGAAAAGCAGCCCCATTTACTTTAGTTAGCGCTGCAATCTTTAAGAAATAAAGTGTTGAATAAATAAATAAACACAAAAGAAGACACCATCCACCTAAGCCACCATTATTCTAGCAACATATTATGACAGTGCATCTCTGCAGAAGCCTAATCAGGAACCTCCTGCTTTATAAGACCATCCTTACAGCTCTTCATCATCCTTCCCAGGGATGTAATTTTGGTGGGTGGAGCCACCCAGTCTCGAAGTTTTCCACCCAGTCTAAAGCTAATTTCATAGCCCCATATTTACTAACCCCATTGCCCATCCTTAAAATCCACTGTTATTAGTTGGAGTTTACCAGTGTTATCACATGCCAGCCCTTAAAATGTCCACCACCCTTAGTTTTATACAGCTGCAACCCTGTTTTATCTTGCAGATGGTTAGTGTATAATAATTGAAATGTTGGGACATGTTTTCAGAAAGAAATACCATTAATTAAGATTCGTAGCATATGCTATCAATTTTGTTGATTGAGTGGAATTTTAGGACTGGGTAAATAGACATATGAAAAATGATAATCTATAGAAACCTAATCAGTATTGGATTAATTTTTATCCTTTTGTTTTGTTAGTTACAATCACAAACTGATGACAATCAGAAAACCAGCAAAGATGAAGAAGATGCTGATGATGAGGAAGAGGAGGAGGAAGATGTGGAACCAGCAGCGGTAACCTTAGATAACAGATTTGATGGAATAAGTGAGCTTCAATATTACGTTGTATATTTTTAATTTTATCAAAGTGTTTGATGGGAACGACCATTACTTTTATTTTATTTATTCATCATTATTGTAATTTATGTGTAAAAATAATTGCTTATAAAAACAACAAATATTACCTGGTCTTTTGACAATACATGAAAACTTTTAACAAAAATATGTTATGTTAATAACAACTAGCTTAAGATTATAATTGAGAGTGAATAATAAAAACAAATAAAAACTAACAGAAAGTCTTTTTCTATTTTTTTTTTGATGATGGCTTATAAGATGTTCAAGAATCATTAGAAGAAACAAGTGAAAACCAACAAACCACACATAATGAAACCGAAAACCAATCAGATTTAATATCATCTGAGGCTGTTGGTTCTTCCGATATGAACCAATCACAAAACAGAGAATCAAATCTTAGCCAGTCATGTGAGTCTCAGAGCCAATCAACTTTTGTCTTAGCCAGAGAGGCAACCAATGAAATCAACTCAATAACTGATTCAAAAATTAACAGAGAAAGTCATTCAGCAGAACCTACATCATCAGTACCAGTAATTGAAAATAAGTTAAGAGATATTGGTTTGAACTCGGAAAACAGAGAAGTTGTAAATAATCGTGGACATGAAGGTTCTTTAACAGAGGTTGAAGATGGTTTAGATTCTGAGGTTCTCAATGGTGATCAACTAATAGATCTTTTCAAGACATCTCATACAGGTCAAAAGGTCAAGGAGGGCCAATTAACTATTGGATTAGTAAGTTCAAATTTATCAATTTGTTATTATCATTTTGGTCTACCAGGACTATTATTATAAATGTAAACATGGTACCCATATGTTGTTGTATAATATTTATAATTAATGATATATACAGATAGAATAAATACAATATATTTTTTTTTAATGTATCATAAATTAATATCCATTATGGTTTTTAGGTTGGCTATCCTAATGTTGGTAAAAGCTCCACAATAAATGCTCTGCTGCAGTGCAAAAAAGTACAAGTGTCATCAACACCTGGTAGAACAAAGCATTTCCAGGTGAGTACTAATTTGAATTCTCTGACAAATAAATAAGATAAATATGCATTAAACATATTACTATTCAGTACTCCACTTTTACCTATATTAAAATAATTTGTATAAATTTATATAATGCATCCATGTATGATTGTACTTTATAGACGCTCTATTTGGATTCGAACCTCTTACTGTGTGACTGCCCTGGACTTGTTATGCCTTCCTTTGTCAGTACAAAGGCCGAGATGGTTACAAATGGTGTACTGCCAATTGATCAGATGCGGGACTTCAAGCCTGCCATCAACCTAATATCCTTTATTCAAACATATTTATATTTATTTAACTCTTATGCCAGTATCAAATTTTGTGTGAATTACCCATATATGGGCATCATGATGTCATATCATATACATATATGTGCATGAAGATTTCATATACCCATATATGGGCAAATTATATGTATTTGTGACATAAAGTTTGATAGTGGAGATGATAAAAATGTTGTTGATGTCAAACAAGTGTGCCATCAACCTAATATCCTCAATCTGCCGTAACTACCTTAACTTAGTTTTCACGTATCGCAGGTCATTCCACGTCGTGTGTTTGAAACAACTTATGGAATCACAATCATCAAACCCAAGGAAGGCGAGGATCCCAATCGGCCACCATCAGCGATGGAGTTGGTCAATGCCTATGCTTGTAAGCAAAGCTTGACATAATATCTCTTAGGATCATGAAAATCATAGTTACAACGAACTGGCTACAATGCACATTTGGCTACTGAAGTTGTTGCCCATTTGGCTACTGAAGTTGTTGCCCATTTGCCAAAACATGTTTATATAATATAAGGTGCACCATTGTGTAATACAGTGTACCTGACGGTTATTTGAATCTGTTCAACCATGAACCCTCTGTGGTCTAGTGGTTATGACGCTCGCCTTGACTGCGAGAGGTCACAGGTTCAAATCCCGTCAGAAGCATGTTATTACACAGTGTATTTATTTATAAGACAACATTCATTAAGAGCTATGCTACATGATGTACCATCATTCGAACACTGTATTTACATTTCTTGCTTGATGATTTATATAAATATTATGCACATATGTTTTTTTTCTGATTTTATCTAGTCACAAAATACCATTAAGCTTTGCCAATGCAACAAATTTCCTTTTGGACAAATAAAGTTTTCAGTATTCAGTAAATGGTTTCATTTTGGATTGATTTTTTCCTTCCAAAATTCTTCAGATATTCGTGGGTTTATGAACACAAAAGGAATGCCAGATGCCCACAGAGCTTCCAGGCTTATCTTGAAGGACTTTGTAAATGTAAGTACTGTACTATAAAACTAAGAATGACAGTGTAAGCCATTTCTTGGTCTCGACAACAGTGTTAATGATATGTGCAAGAGTAATACAGTATTGCCTTCAGAAGAACTGTAGAGAATCCAGGGAAATGGGAACCTTGCTTTAACATCCACCAGCAAGTTCCCTTGCAAATCACCTTACTCTTTATGAGTCTTGAAGAGTGAGTTGATGGAATTTAACCCAGAACCTTGGTATTGGAAGGGAAGCACTTTAACCACCAAATCAGCAGTCTTTCAATTTGTTCTGTTGCTTTTTGTGTGCAGGGACGTCTCCTGTACTGCCATCCTCCACCTGGTGTTTGTCCCGAGGACTTTGAACCTGTCAGAAGCCATGAACCAGATTTAAATGAAAAGAGATCTTTAAAGGATAAGCAAGTCATTGTCGTGTCTGAAGATGGCATCAGGGTGAGTAGAACTATTGGCAAATGGGAACATTTGGAAAGTACCCCACCAGCAGTTTGACTGCCATACAGTAATTGCTGGTTTTCCAAATAATTTGCTTTGTCTTCAGGCATAAAATCTTGTCCAGTACTTAGCACAAATATTAATACTGCTGTTTTCCACAGTAGCTACATCATGAATATTCATGAAGGGTGTTGTTCATGACATGGTGTATTATCTGCAAAAAGACCAGCATTTTTATAAAAACTATGCTGTAATGTTTACTTAATAAACCTATCCAATGTCAATTCTTTTATTTTTTCTAGCATAAACATCACCCTGAGAATTCAGTAGATACAACCTTCTTTCAACAACAGTCCCTAGCTGGGCATTCAAAAGGCGTACATGGGGTTAAAGACTTCTCCAGGGTCAGCAACTACACTACGCATGCTAGCAAAGCAAATCTCACCCCGGAAGAAAGAGCCTTGGCAAAACCCTGGAAAAAACATGGCAACCGGAACAAGAAAGCAAAGCTGCGGAAAACTTATGGTCACCTAGATATAAAATAGTTATTATGGTTGGTTTTTAAAAAAATGTATGTAACCCCCCCCTCCCATCTGTATTTGTGAAGCCTATGCCATAAAACATTTATGAATTCTGAATATTATTTGTCATCATTGTAGGCTGACAGTATATTATTTGAAACAACTGAATTAAAGATGCATAGCAAGTGGTAAAATATGTTTTTATCTTGTATTGTACTGTACAAATTACCTCCGGTGGCTATCAATGTGCTGGAGTCCATCATGCACTACTTTAAACAACCATTATCTCGGCTGTTCATTTTTTGCCCATAATCTTTAAGTTGTATCTAGCAATACAGTAGCGCTACCCTTTAACATTGCCAAGAGAAACACTGGTGTGCAATTCCTGTTTACATATAGAATGATTTAGTGTCACAACCATTTTAGACAAACATTGAACCAAGAAATTCGGAAACTTAACACTGCTTCTTGACATTAAATTTTGGTGTTGCAATTCCACAAATGAAACCTGAACCAGCATGCTGTACAGTATATTGTTTCTTAACGTTAAAGAGGTTGGAATAGTAGTTGTGATGCAGAATCGTTCACAGGAGTATTAAATGGGTACCAGATGTAGGCTTAAATAAAATAGGTTCTGTGGTGGGAGAGATGCCCCAGTCCTGCAGCTAATGAAAAGCACACCTCGGAGCTCCGACATTAACGGTATTAGTAGGAGATGCCCAAAACAAGCAAATTAAAACATTGTAATTCCAGGTTTTTTACTTATTATGTTGTGGACCCAAAAGTGTTGCATGCCCAGGGTCAGAAATAAGGAGGTAAACATTGTACAATACCAGAAAATTTGAATCAATTTATAGTAATAGACAGGCTACGGTATCGTTTGATATTCTACTGTGAAGGGCCCCTCGACCACCTGTGATCGATTACTATACTAAATGCATGGGCCCATGCACTTTCTTTTCCCAGGTCCCAAGACTTCTTGCTACGCCACCGGTTGACTATCAATGATCTACCTACTACAACATTGGGGAATCATCCCCCATAGTTGTTTGAATAGAACACCCAAATGATAATGTAATGTAATAAAGTACACAGTAGCCATGTTGGCATAAAGTTGTATGAAAACTGGCAAAATATTCACTTAAAACATCAGGCAATTTAAAATGAAAGCAATAAAATATTTGACAGCATTTTCGTCTTCAGTACCGACATGAAGGTTCCTTTGCACTAATCAAATCCCTAACATTAGGAAAAACCGCTGGAGAACTCTGGTAACTCAGAATTGAACTGGCTTTCAAGGTGATAAGACTATATGCTGTTAAAACAAATAAGTACTATATATTTGTCCAAGTTGGACAAATTTTCAGGCACGATACTATTATTTCGAAGAATCCTCTTCCCAGGGTGTTCGCTACCCTGGGAGGAAGGTATTTGCTAAATGCCCGGGAATACATTCGTCGTCAATGTAGGGTTGTATTTTTACAACCAAAAATCAGAAGTGACTCGTATTTACATAACCAATCCTATTTCGAGTACAGTACTGTCGACGATGAATATTTAGTAAGAGAGCTACAAAGGTTACAAATGTACACATTTTTTAAATATATAGCCAATATTGCATTTATGCGCAAGACTTTTGTCATTAAGTCTGAGAGAAAACCTGAATGTGTGAGCAGGCCTGCAGAAAAATAGTTTGTTTTATTGTATTGTTAAACATATGTATGTGGGAAAATAGGAAATTAACACAAAATATAAACAATTGCTATCATTTCACTTTAATATTTCTTCTTCATTTTTAAGCATTTAGGTTAACATAATAATTAATAAATACAACCTGAATTTTCTTTCCCATTAATTCTATTCCTAGCCAGATATTTTTGCAAAAAAAATACCCTTGCATACAAAAAGCTTACTTTCGGATAAAAACAGTTAACATGCACTTAATTAGGGAAATTTACAATTAGAATCAATACACAAATTAATAGAGATGACAAATATCACAAAAACGCTTCATAATCTGCATAGGTTTTGAGAGAATTAATATAATTAAATTTAGGATTAGGAATTACCTCTTAATCCCTTATAATCTAGGTTTGAATTAAAAATGTGAAATAATCAATGACTCATTGAGATAAAAACACAGAATTCTGCAAATATATATTCATGCAGGAAATTAGCAACAACAGGCGATATTTAAATAAACATTTTCATACCTATCGAAATATAGAGAAGTATTGATAACGAGGTGTGCACAGGAACGTCTGAATAGGGCACTGCAATTTTATCTAAAGGAATTCAAATGTAACAAGCCAGCCAGTGACAAGCATCGAGCACGCCATGGGTCAGGTCGCTATGAACATATATATTCAAATACTGTATTTCAAATTATCAAGTGGGTTAAGGACAAGCTACTGTAGGACAGCAAGGATATGCCAGTCCAAAACTAACCACTACAGCTCTCAAACCGGTATCAAAATCATCTGTGTGAATACTTGATAAATTAAATATTTTATTGAATATAGGAAAATCCATTTTAATTCCAGGATAATTTTTACCAAAAAATAGAAAATAGTTCAGTTTTGCATTGTGAATCGTTTGTATCCTAGACAAGCACCCTCAAGAAGATAAAATAGTTTTAAAATATACTAAGCTGCAACTAAGATTCTACAGTTTGTAATTGGGATGAATTCAATGATTTAAATATGCAACAATGCAAGGTTACACATAATCATAAATTTGCCATGAAAAAAATTGTCTTGCTGTTACTTATTGTATGAAGGTTATTAAAAAACACTTTTGATTTAGACTACACCTATCTTAATTTAGAACATACAAGAATGAAGCAAGAATTTCAGAGTAATAAATCTATATTTATGATTAGCCTTTTCTCTAACCTTTATTAACTGGAGTTGTTTTATTAAAGATTTTTTTAAGTAACTACAGTATTGTGCATAGGGTAATTATTGTGGGAGTGATGACCCACAAGTGATGACGCAAATTCATATCTTAATAGTAATTATTGTGGATACTGGATTTCTTAATTACTCCTAATCGCTTTTTAGACCTCTGGTATTTGCTTGTCTACCTTATCTCCTGAACATTGGATTGCATCCCTTATCTCTCGATTTTGTGTAGCTTTATTATCCTTTCTTGCATTCTTCATCCCTGGATCTTGGAAGATTTTTTTTTCACTCTAGACCTTGGATTGTTTTATTAATCCCATAGATCTTGAATAATTTTTTAATCTCTTGGATTTTGGATTTCATTCTTTATCCGTGGATCTTGTGTAGCTTTAATAATTCCCTGAATTTTGATGAACTTTTAATCCTGGAACCTGGATTGCTCTCTTTATCCAATGAATTTTATTCAGCTTTACTAATCCTAATGATCTTGCATGATTTCCTAATCTTTTGGATTTTGGATTACATTCTTTATCCGTGGATCTTTAGAAGCTTTAATAATTGATGAATTTTTAATCCTTGACCTTGAATTGTTTTCTTTATCTCCTGGAACTTGCACTTTTTAATCTCTTTGACTCCAGTTTGGATCTTGTGTTGCTTATTTAAACCCCTGGATCTGACATGGCTTCTATTATCCCTTTGATTTAATCAATGAAAATAACTTCATCAGAAGTGCGTGGTCTGCTTCTATCACAAGCAGGGCCTGCAGAAAAAACAAAGTTACCAAATTATAAGCATTTACTTTAATAATTATATTCGACATTCTGTACACCAGCATATAACATGAAGTAATCTGTACAGGCAACAGGATATAAATCTCAAATTTTTTTAGTCAGTGATATAGGTTAAGGACTAAGGTCAAGGGATATGAATATTCATGAGATGTTTTATTATTACCCACAATGCAACAAGCATTTTGAGTCAACACAGCATGCATTCACGCCAACACCACATTGCATTCTGGGATAATTATTTGTTAGTTTTGTTTTATTTCAAGCAATAGTATTGTTCACACTTTCTATCAAGAACTACCATAACAACTATAATAATTATAATAAATACTAACAATAGGAAGAACAATAATAATTTAATTAAAATACATAATATTTTTATTACAGTACTAATAACAGTGATAACTTCTTAAAACTTATTTCTAACTGCTGATTTGTCTAATATGTACTAAATTGTGGGGCAGTGATGCCATGCATACAGTACATTCATTAAATATAATATTCTGCAATCATATGCCTAGCTTCCTAGCAAGGCATACCAGTGATGTTGTACCTTTCAAGTACAAAATTAGCATACAAGACTTAATGAAGAATTAGAAACACACAAGAAAAATGTGATTGATTATTTTTGTGTGTAAGCCAGGCACCTTGTGAGCGATGGAGTACAGACAGATTACTTGGGTTGTGCTGACCCACCTAGGCCTCCTTCGGAAGCTTTACTTGAGCCCTGGTGTGCTACCGGTGGGATGGCCTTGCCAGAATGCGAACCTACAGAGTGCAGAACAGAACAAGAACATGCATTAGGTTATATCACAAGCAGGTGGCAACATTCTTTAAAAACTCTGTCCACTAAGAGGCTTGCCATGCTAAAACTAGCATCAGTGACAAAAAATAATTGATTTTGATTTTTATTGATTAATATATTTAAATTCTCAATATTAAAGCTTTAAAATGATGGCTCATTTACTGGAATTGATTTACTATTGACGATTTCCAAAGTTATGAGCAAGAGTATTATGGTTTCTCTGTACTAAAGTATACAATACTGCCCCATTCTTTTGGTAATTACTCAGTTTAATAATTAGTGACAGTACGCTGGTTTTGGGATGGCATGCCTCATATGGTACGATGATGTCATATTATTCATATATGGGTATTTCTCACAAAACTCTTGATAATGTGGACCGAGTTTGTGTTTGAAGGATCGGAAAGAAATAAAATATAAAGCCTAGCAAAAAGATTCAAAGTAATTATTAAAAACAAAATATAATAATGGTATCAATATAATTCCATAGAAAGGAGAAAAAGATAATATAGTAGTAACAATAACAACAATAAACATAATAGGGGGATGGGGAAAATAATAGCAAAATGTATGTTTTTACAATGTCATTTTCTGGGACCTAAAACAAGGGCTCATATAAACCTTTAATTATTTACCTTTTGAGTTTGAGATGGCACTTGAGGCATTACTCAGCATGGTTGAGTAGTAGTTACTGGTGGAGGGTTGGTGGGATTTCACCACCTGTGGTTGACTGGAGCCTGGCAGCACCTGTACATTACCTTGAGGAACAGGTTGCGCACCTGTCATTAAATGGAATAAGTTTTTTTTTCTCATGTTTAAAAATACTTATACTAGACCAAAAAACGTTTGTGTTGCAACACCAGAGCAACACAAAAAATTTACAAAATACATTTGCCTGAGAGAATTGTATTCAAAAAGTAGATTTTCGTGGTTTAATTAATTAACTTGATAACTCAACCATGGATTTATTCCTATCCATGCATAGGGTGAGTGGTGGTTTTTGTATGTAAACCAAGTTTTACTGAATAAATTTAGTCAATCAGTTAATCTATGTATCAATCAATATAGAAATACAGGTCTCCCTCCAAATAATGACCACTTTCGGGACTGGGGTTTTCATTTAGCAGCTTTGGTCTGTAATTTAGAATCACAGAAATGTGGTCCTTAATCGGAGGTGGTCTTTAATTGGAGGCGGTATTTAATTGGAAGGAGACTTGTAGATGTAATTTAAGATCACTGAGTATGAAAAAATAATTAACTAATAAATATGAAATAGTTATAGAAAATAACTTTTTTATCACCATGTATATTTTATACACATATTTTACATTTCTTAAAGAATGAAACTACTTTGTAACCTTTGCATTTGTCTACACTGTACATTTAAATATTGCTTAGAATATGCAATCTAAATAAATAATATTTAAATAAAAAATATAAATAATAATGTATTATAAAATATTATATTATATTATGCAATGTTAGTTCATCTGTTAAATGTTAATAAAACCTCAAACAAACACAGGAAATTAAAATTTTCGAGTTTAATGGAGAAATGTTGTTATTAAATTGCACACACCATGCATGAATCAGTTTTTTAGTATATGTTACGGGGGAATCGTTTTGCGTCGTTGGATTTGATGATAAAATTGGAATTTTATTTCAAAATAAAGGAAATAAAAAAATAAATGAATTACCAGACAATAGCACAATTTTCCAAAATAAGTATATTTACCTAATAACAAAATAATGATAATTAATAATAAGAATATTAGAAAAATTAAATAACTGAAGTAAATTTTAAAAGAAAATATAACAACATAACAATAATAATATCTGGTACTTGCATTTGTCTACACTATAGTGTTTAATAAAGCGAAGCCATTTTTTTTTATGAATTAAAAAATGCTTCTTTGAGCCTTTTCCTTTAATTTGTTCAGAAAATTCAAAATGAATTAAGTACAACTTACTTTTTTTGCTGGAATACTGGTTGCCATATTGGCCAGAGGGTCTGTACATGGTGTAGTTTGTGGCGAAACTGCCTCCAAAGCTTGCATTGGGCTTGTATGATGCATAAGGGTTCTGGGAGCTGAAGCTGGCATGCTGTTGATGTTGGCTGGACTGGGAGGACTGAACATAACAAACAAAGCAAAAATATTATAATAATTTTGAATTTATTTGATTTATTCAATTTTGGCAAAGATTGTTGTGACACTGTTTAAGACCACCAATTTCAACATTATTAACATTATCATCATAAAGTATCAACACCAAATTCAAACTGTCAATGCACTTTGGCTACACAACAATTTTGTTTATGGCATGATGATGATGAAAATAACAGTACTGATATGATGAGGATGATGCTGCTGGTAAATTCACATATTCATCTTTTATAACACAAAATATTATGACAATTATTAACATCCTCAATACAGTAGAACCCCTACACCTTCGGGAGTAAAATTTGTCCCTTTAATAGGGTGTCTCCTGAATAGGGGTTGGCCATAGTGTTAAGACATACTTTCTCTCGTTTTGCAGTCCAAGAGAGTCCCTCTAATAGGAGTGTCCCAAAAGAGGGGTTCTACTGTATCATTTTGACATGTGTACTCCTCACTGCCATCATTGTGTGATGTTGAGGATGCATTACCTCATGTGCTGGTGCTGGGGCTGGTGTTGATGCCGGTGAGGAAGATGCATGCGACGCCTGCTGCTGTGACTGGCTCTGAGACTTTGATGCTGATGATTGTGAGTCTCTGGTGGCGAGCCTGCTGAGGATGCTACGTTCTGTCATCTGTAGTCTTGCCGCAACTGGTGGGATGCGGGAGAGGGTGGCAGGTAAACGTGCCACATCAGACTTCATATCACTTAGGAGCTCCTCCAATTGGTTTAATACTAAAAATAAGAAAATTTCAGATAAAGAATTGTCACATAATCAACAACAAACAGCCTAATTAAATCACTTCTATCACCTTGGTTGATACATTACTCTTAATGGCATTTAGAAATCAATAATTTTTACTGTTCATCCTTAATACTATTGTTATTTTTGTTATGATTACTACACTATTATTATCCTTATTACTGTGATCATTATTATGAATATTATTACTATTATTATTGCTATTATTGTTATTATTATTACTGGATTTCAGTGTTATTGTGGCTTTTATTGCTATGCTTTGGTAGTGGACACTTGTACAGGGAACATCTCCCTTTGTTAACTACCATCTTGTGTGAGGAAAATAAAATTATGAATTATGAATTATTACTCTAGTTACCTTTTGGGATTCACCTGGGTAGTTATCCCTTTGGTTTTCTCTGTGTGGTTGGTTGGCCCTTTGACTTCCCCTGGGTAATAATAATGTACGCTCATTTTTGTAACACTATTATTTTGGACTACCTGTGTTGTAACTGCTTTGATTTACTTAAATATTTATCACATAGGATCCACCTTGGTAATCCTATCCTATGTATATTGTATGGTTCTAATAATAATTATCATAGTAGATGATGATGATAATTGGTAACTGACGATATGGACAATCATGTTGATGACAATATTGAAGATGTTGATGCTGATCTTATTAATGATATTTCAACTGACCTTTGTGCAAGACAGCATTGGCAGGTTTGTTCCCAGCTAGGCTTTCCTTGGACAAGTGTTGATGGCTCTCTGCAAGGCACTCGACCTCTGCAAAACGCGCATTCAAAGCCATCGCTGGATGGTTTGGATCCTGTGTAAGGTTCAAGTAAGCTGCACGCCTTAACTGCTCTTCAATTACTAGGGCCTGCTCCAGAAGCTGGTAAATAAAAATAACACTTTTGTTATCAAAAAATGTTGATATGTTTACAAGGTTCAAATAAGAATTTAACAAAACAAAAAATAGAGTACAGAAAGAGCACTACAGTAAATATTTCATCAGTCAACAATTTATTTCTATTTTTGTATTTTATCAAAGTGATATCTCTAAGATCTGTATCACAAGAATGCATTGTTTGCAGACTCACCTTAAATCTTCTTGCTAAGAATTTATTTTTCATTTCAAGGTAGTTACCCTTGCCAACGTCCACTTTGAATGGTTCATTGATCAGCATGTAGCACTGGTCATTCTGGATGTCCTGCCATCGGCCATACCCATGTCTAAAAACTCAGTCAAGGAGGCCACAAACATTTGGTAGAACGTAAATAGTTTAAGTGCAATCTGAATCTTGTATTTTGTTTATTTTACATTAATATCATTAATATCAAGATTAATGGAAAATGACGATAACAATCGATGCACATCGTGCATTCTGAATTTCTTGTCAAAATCAATCTGAACAAATGACACCATAATAATAAAAGGATACTTGACAATGCCACTAAGTAGCCAGAAGTCATGTTTTCGATGCCAGATCTCATCACCTCTATCACCAGAACTCTTGGCAGCTCTTTCTTCATTCAACCAGAGGGTATGCAGCTCTGTGAAGCCACCATCAGCAATATTGAAGACAAATGTCTTGTCTTCTTTCTTCTCTTCCTTTCCTGTTTTTGATTCATCCTTCACCTCTTTCTTTTCTCCTTTTGAATCAGTCTTGGATGTATCATTGGAACTAGTTTTCTCGTCTTTTACATCTTTCTTTGTTTCAGTATCTGGTTTGTTTTCTTGTTCTTTGTCATCTTTCTTCTCTTCTGTCTCTTCTTTCACTTCGGTTTTTTTCTGATCAGCTGCACTTTCCTCCTTTTCTTCTTTTGATTCTTCAATTTTCTTTTCTTCCTTTGCCTCACCCTCACCACTCTGTTCTTTCTCTTCACTATTTTCATCTTTAGGTGGATCTACATCCATCTTCTCTTCCTGATTATTCTCTGCTTTTTCTTCCTCTGCTTTTTCTTCCTTGGTTTCTTCATCTTTCTTCTCTGTTTCATCATCTTTCTTCTCCTCATCTTTCTTTTCATCTTCTTTAGCATCTTCCTTTACTTCTGATTCATCTGGTTTAGCATTGGTTTCCATTTTCTCTTCTGTTGATTCTTCTTTAGTGTCTGTTTCATTTTTCTTTTCTTCAGTTGCTTCATTCTCATTTTCAACAGATTTTTTCTCTTCTCCTTTTTCATTTTCTTCTTCATCTGCCTTTTCTTTGATTTCTTTTACAGCAGCAGGAGCACCAGCGTTATCAGAAGCAGGGGCACTAGCATTATCAGCAACAGGGGCACTAGCGTTATCAGCAACAGGTGCTGGAGAACTTGCAGAAGACCTAGCCTCATCTTTGATGCCATCTACAGCAGGAGATCCAACAGCTGGCGAAGCAGCCTCAGACCTGGCTTCATCTTTGAGGTTCTCTGCCTTGGTCTTAGAGTCTGCATTTACTGCTGGAGAACCAGCATTCTTGGGAGTCGGCACTGGTGATGGTGTAGCTGATGACTGGCGGGAACCAACTTTTCCAGTGATGGCATTGATGTCGACTGATCCTGGCAAACTGATCTTTCCGTTGACCGGCTCAAACTCAAGAACCTGAAAATAATGCAAGTATGAATTTACAATATATTGTTGGTCTACAAGCTTTCTTCCAGCATTACCTTTCATTAATATCTTGAAAGAAATATTCAATCATGAAACATACCTTTTTTCTTATAAGACTCATTACGCCAATCCTCGTCAAAACATGTTGACGTGACAATCCTTCTCTGGGTACACCATCTGAGAATGTCTCTGTGTTGTCTGAGCCAGGCTCACAAAGGTGACGCATGAAGAGTGAAACATAAGCTCTGTGGATAAATTCAAAATCATTAAAATTCATAAACCTTCATACATATATTCATGAACCTTCATACATGAACACTGACAATAAAATAGACTTTGGGAAATAACTAACTTGAAATGCTTTTCAGGCTTTCCCCGCAGATCTCGGACCATCCATTGAGAGTTATACGGATCTTGCGGTGGCATTCCCCATCGCATGATGGCATTGAGGAACGCCTTACGTTGACGTGCGTTGAAACCAAGAACCTACAAAAAAAAAAAAGCAATCAGAATTATGTTGATTTAAATTAAGTTACAAACTCAATTTGCAACGATGACGTCATTACGATAGACAGTTTTTAACTACAAAAAAATTGTATTTAAAAGTCTTCAAAAATAATATAAAATGTTATATTAATTAAAAAAGAAAATATTTCAACCAATAAAGTTACATAAAACTAAGTTCAAAGCAAGACATATCGATGGTTTTCAGCCGAGATATATTATATTTGAGCTGTGCATGCACGTTCAGGCATACTGTACAGTAAATCTCACTTTTTGTTCATTGGGGGCACTATTCGCATGAATTTTCGCGATTTAAAAAAAGAGAATAATAACACTCGTTTTGGCCATTATTTGGTCACGTTTTCATTCGCAAATCACTTCAAATGAATACTACAGAGTGAACATAGGTAATTTTTGCTTCTGTAAAGTACTATTTTGTTGCAGAAAACAGTAAAATCCAATTCATTTTTCGTAACAAAATTTTGCTCCCATGGCAACTCTCTGAATTACGAATTTTCTCAATTATGAACTCTGTTCGGACGGAGGGGTATGTAATTGGGAGGTGTTACTGTAACTATTTTCTTATAATAATCATTTGGTTGATTTAAATTACCTCAATACTGCCTCCAACTCTAGCCAACAGAGGAGGCAACTTATCCTTGTCTCTTTCTTGTCTTCTACTGCGTCTGACTGGAACAGGAAAAAAATGCAACTTAATTTCAATCGGTAACTTTTTGTACAATTTCTATTTAGCAAGCTTACCTTTAAATAAATGGACTATTCTGCTAAGCCCCGCCCCTTCTATATTGTAGCTAAGGTTCTGAATGGTCGACTGTAAGTTTGACTGACACCCCGGTGCGGTCCATTGTGATTACTTTGCACTTTATCAATCAATAAATTAATATTAGTGCCTTCCATTGTAGACATTAACTTGCTATACTTACGTTCTGATTTCTCATCGAAGTCTTCATCCTCTTCTTCATCTGTATGCACAGAATAATCACTGTTGTAATCACTGAGTTTGTCATCCCAAGCTAGAAAAAAATAGTTCCAAGTGTCAATTATATATCAAGAAGTCAATGTGACATTTACATTCACACCAAATGTAGCAAAACAAAATATCTATGTTCAAAGGTAGGTAATAAATAAATAAAGCTGGGTAATAAATAAATATTGACCAGCATATAAAAATTCACCATTTAATGACGAATTCAGGTGTTATAGTATAGTATACAAATATTGAGTGCTCATGAGGGGAATGTTGAAATTTATTGCCCAGAGGTGATATGAAGACTGTAGCCTATCCGTCCGTGCATGTCATAAATTACTTAGCAACCTTCTAGGTGGCGGTCTAGAGATTACACATCGCGACAGGGAAAAAAGTACTATCATTTAGGGTGATAGAAAAAATTAACTATTATCTAAACCTACGTCATATAGGAGTGATGGTTAAAGTTACTGCCTACTTCTTAACCTATCAGATGCTTAGAATCTTATGTATGTGGTATACAATAATCTCTAGTAACCTAAACAAGTAGCCCAGCATGATTTATATCCCCTCCTCACCCACCACCCACCCTCTTTACTAAAATCTTGAGCTCTGTACAGACTATCAAATCTTCTTTAGAAAAAAAACTTAGTCTGAGTCATGATGTGCCTATATTATCTACAGTGGTGTGATGTCATCATTACCATATTTAGGCATGTAAAATATGTTTGTCAAATAAAATTTGAAGTCTGGACAGGGATTCAGACACAGCAATAACACTACTGTAAAATACAAAGATTATTATAACAAAACAACTCATTTATACCAGCATCTCCCTGTGCACCATCATTGTAGTTAACCTGTTTTCGTATTCTCTTTCCCTTCCCAAGAGTCCGTGCCAGATCTTCCTGCTGCTGCTCGTAGTGATGTCGGAGGAGCTTTTCCCAGTAGGCCGGATCAGATGGCTCCAGCTCCTGTTTGATGACTTCCGTCTCCTCCTCGTCTGACTCCTCTTCCTGCTTGGTGGTGTAGCTAGCCACCTTGAAAGAACTCAGGTATTCATTAGCACCCCATTCATTCTTCTGCTGCTCCTCTTCATCATCATCTTTTACCTCTTTGTCACGGTCCAGAAGATCTGCAACTGCTTTATCATCCCAACGGATCACAAGTTCATCATCTAACGAAAAATTAAAATCACAAAAAAATCAATTATTAGTAATTTAAATCCAAAGCATTCTCACCCTCGAGATCTCACTGCACGTTCCATCTTTACTTATATTTGTATATTTTTATAAAAAAGTTGTCTACTCAATGAGAAAGGAAAAAATAAAGCAAAGCTTGGTTGACATCAATGATAGAGCACAGTGGGAGTGGACTATTCTGCTATTCAAAAGGGGGGAGGTGGGTTCAAGTGGATGACAATAGCATTAATTAGGTTTTTCACAAACCTTTTTCCTGTTTTACAACTTTTCCCTTTTTTATGTGATGCTTAAAATGTTTTGATGGTGCTTTTAATGTAATTTCCTGTAATTGGCAAAACAAGGTAAATTATAAATTTTTAATAAAAGTAATTAAAAACATTTAAAATGATGTGGAGCTCACCCTTGCCATCAATATCATCTTTGAAGAGTTCTTCAGTTCCAAACTTTAGAATGTCATCAAGTTCTTTCTTGCTCATGGCTGCCTTGTTGGTGCTACCAGCTCCAAGACCAGAGCGTACAACTAAGTGGGTCAACATCATTTTCTTCTTAGCAACCTAATCAGAAAACATTGATAACTAACTCATTGATAAATGCTGTATAACCATACTAGCGGTGAATAATTTAACAGGCAATGAAGAGAAACTGTGGTTTGATGGGTGAGATTTTAGCATTCCAATCTAAAAATAAAAATGCTGTAAGATACCATTAATATTGTGCCTCACATTTTTTGTGACTTATATTTAATATATTTAATCCTGAAATTAATGGAAAGTTAAACCAGTCACTCCTCGCAAATCTTATCTCACAGATAACGACCAATGCATGCTGAAATTTCAAAATTGTTGAAACCTATTTTATTGCACAAAACTAACCTTTATATATCTATACATCATAATATGCTGTTATTTTCCACATTTTTGAAGTTAAAAAAACAATTTTGCGATGGTTTCTATTGGAGAATGTCCGAAATCATAAACTTTCAAGGCTGATTTCTCAAATATTGTTCTCTAAACAGCTGTATGTTCAAACGCTTGTAACTTCATAAGGAAATGTCAGATTTAAATGATTCTTTTACCATTTTATAGCTCCCATTTTTATCTTTAACCATGTATTAATAACTGAAGATCAATTTTTTTGTGACGAGTAACTGGTTTGGCTTGTCTTTGCCACATGTAAAAAAATTGTTTTTTTGCATACCTGTGTGATTCGCTCTTCCACAGAAGACCTTGTCACAAATCTGTATATCATAACCTTGTTTGCTTGACCAATACGATGCGCTCGACTGAATGCCTGGATGTCATTGTGCGGGTTCCAATCCGAGTCGTAGATGATGACAGTATCTGCAGTGGCCAAATTGATACCTAGACCTCCAGCACGTGTGGAGAGGAGGAACACCATCTGTGGTGCACCCGGTGCTGTAAAGAAAGCGAGAAAGGTTGTCGTAAAAACAAAACTTAAGCCCCATTCCAAGGTTAAATCAATTCAGTTTACACTCATATACTATCTTTACTATAACAAATTCTGAAATTTATAGTCAGCCAATTTAAGGGTATGTGCAAAGAATAGAGTTACGTGACTTGACTTGAAATTATTAATTGAAAACCTAATACAAGAGTATATAATGAATCTAATATAGAGTAATTAAATAACTGGAATGAAATGATTGTTCAAGTTTGGTAGTTTATCCTTAAGCTTAAGCTTGAGTGAGGTTACTTCTGGTCAGTCATCATCCCCTCAATAATGGATGTACATCTCTTCAATCACAAGAGGGTCATTGTGTATGCTACCCAGTTGAGGCAAATTGAAATTCATGTTGTTGGTATTTTAAGTGAGTATGTAAATCTTTAAATGAGAGGACATTCATTGAAATTGAACATTTCAACCTTAATTATTAAGAAGTGGAAGTACAGCACTCCAAGAGTCAAGATAAACATTATTTTGAGCCAGGGTTGTAGCTGTAGAAAACTAAGGGTGGGTGATAGACAAACAATTGAGGGTGGGTAGATGATAACATTAATAAAACGCTAAATAATAAGAGTGGATTTTAAAGGTGGAAAAGTGAGTTAATAAGGGTGGGTGGAGGGTGTGAAATTAGCTTTAGCCTGGGTGGAAAACTTCAAGGCTAGGTGGCCCTGTTCACCTCCACCCACCATAACTACATCCCTGAAAGTTATTGGTGCATAGATTGTTTAATAGAAATAATTACTAAAAGAACATTGAATAAACAATTTGTTGACCATTTCTAGAACTAAGACATGATTAATTAGATACTAAACAATTGATCTATAGTGAAAGAACAAATTTGATCTTTAAGCCATTTTTTGAGCTCCTATATTTTATAAGTCATTTACTCGATACGACATGCCTCAGTTGTCCTTTTGACCTCTAAACACTTGACTTGACCACCTATTGTTACTGTTTATGATAAAAATTACATGTGGGCAAATTGGTACAATATAATTTTACCAATTATCAGGTAATCTATATAGTACTTACAGTTAAATCTATCAATGGCTTCTTGACGCAAATTTCCAGTAATACCTCCATCAATACGTTCATACTTGTAGCCTTCCCCTTCGCAGAAGTCCTCGAGTAAATCAAGAACTTTGGTCATCTATTAACAAAGAAATAGTTTCTTCTAAATGTTGTTGAAATGCCTCATAAATGAAATATTACTATTAAGTAAGGTAATAAGTTTATTTTGCACTGCAGAAAAAAACCTGTAATCGCTTGATAAGGTCTAGTATACAATTACTGAAAACTGGTAGCTGATTTTTTGTAAGGCATCACAAATAAAGTAGTCAAAACAAAGTCAAGTTATCGAGGTTTCAATTCTTCACTGTGCATTTTGCCTGTGTCCTTAAGCAATACACTTTATCTACATCACTTCAGTCTACAAGGCTGTATCAATGGGTCCCAGCAAATTGCTGGGAGTAAACAGTGAGGACTACCGTCCGACCCTGAGGGAGTTTTACACTCTCAAGCCATTCACGCTACAGAAACTGGATATAAGCTGCAACCCTATGAGCTCTGAGACTTGGCAAGGATTTACTTTTTTAAATTTATGAGACAATTTGGAAATTAGTACATTTGGTATTTTAAAAAAATGCCTTTCCCTCATACCTGTGAAAAAATGAGCACCCTGTGACCATCAACTTTCAGCTTAACCAACATCTTGCTCAGTAAAGTCAACTTCCCGGCAGATTTTGTCAAAGCATTCACTTCATATGCTCCATTGGGAAGACGAGGTGCTTCCTAAAATAAATGGATATTTCAATAAATCTGATACAAATAAACATATTTTTAATTAGTAATTATGGTGCAACTTTGATATTGTGAAATCGACAGCCAAATACAATATATAAATACGTGCCAATAACCAACAAGCATTATAAGTCAATCATAAGACTTCATCACTGTAACTCCCAATGTTACTTTCCTATCCCAAACCATGCAATATGTTATCATTAGTGCACGGTGTGCTTGTGTTTTTCGGCTCGTGCAGAAGGCACTACAATGGATATTTTTACACATGGCACTACGGCGATTGCAGACCGTCAGGATTTTTTTTCCATGGATTAATCAAACCTGCTTATAATAATTTGCACTAGTGAATGATACACAACTATACTAATTGCTTAACATCACATACCAATGCTGCTGTTGGGAACAGGTACGGATGATTGCAACATTTCTTGAGGTCCATCATGATGTTAAGCAGCGACACCTGGTGACCACTTCCTTTGGAGTTCAAAGCTTCAAAGTTGCGGGTCAAGATATACTTGTAGTATTTCCTATTGTGAAAAACATTAAAGTCATAAAAATTAGATATTAAATTAATAAATATTAAAGTGATATAAATGAATCATACTAGTAGTGTTAACATTATAGTAAATTTATAAAAATATAAACCTCATCAGAAAATTGCAGTGTAGAATATATAGAAAGATATAGGCTTCTGTAGGAATCAAATCAGCAAACCTTTGAATATCATATTGATACCCTGCCAATAACAATACATTTATGCATGAGTAACAGCGCTCCTCCAACTCCCCCCCCCCAAAAAAAAACATTTAACAGGTAAAAATGTTGTACTTACTTTTGAAGAGGTGAGAGATCAACACGTACAATGAACTCGCTCTTAGAGGGCATGTTCTTAAGCACGTCTGCCTTAAGACGACGCAACATGTGTGGTCCCAACATGTCATGCAGTTTCTTGATCTGATCTTCCTTTGAAATATCCTCAAACTCCTCCAAGAAAACTTGGAGATTACTGAATAAATAAAGAGCAGTGGTCAATGTTATGTCTGGAGCAACGTTATAAACATCGAGGATCAATATTATTTTATGTCTTTATGGTTTGATCCTCTTGCAAAACACCTCAAAGAAAACATGGGATCTTGCATAAAAACAGACCAGAGATCAAAGTTATGTTAAAGGTCAGGTAATAAGGGTTATTTCAATGACATGCATAGAGTCATCTTTTGACAGAAGTCAATGTTAAATCATCACAGATCATAATCTCTCAAAAAAATGCACCAATGTCTTAATATGTTAATTTAAACTTTTACATTTATTGAAATCACTGTATAATTGAATTTAAATACAACTAAATTATTTAGGACGATAAAAAAACTTACTTGAATTTTGCAGATGCCATGAAGTTGAGTAAATGAAACAATTCCTCAAGGTTATTCTGGAGTGGTGTGCCGGTAAGAAGCAGTTTAGATTTGATGCTGTATCCACTGAGGATACGGAAAAACTGCAAGAGAAATTGAGGTTGGAATTAAACAAATGTCATGAATTGCAATACGATAAGAAGCATTGAATTGCACAATAACGGTAGGACATAGAACGTTCTGGCGTCAGCTGTGCATGCTAGAGCGTCAAGTTCTCCTTGTCGCCTAGATTCTAGCACACAATTTACCTCAAATCTACTTTGTGCAGAGAACGTAGGACAGTCAGGGATGAGTAAATCTGTTCTAGAGTTACGCTGTCGTGCAAAATCGACTCTTTCAAGTCATCATCTTTTCTTTCTCAGGCACTGCTTATAGGTAGTGTTTGCTTATACAGTCATTATATTTGGGCAAAAAGCACTTTTGTTACCCAACCACAGTGACATTTCAAAAGCAAGGTCAGTCATTCGACTCTAGATTTCTGCAATTTTGGGTTAGTTGGGCCTGGGAAACACAAAGCTATACAGTGTTATTTTATTTAAACCACAGTTTATTCCTTTGTCATTGAAGACATGAACATCTAGAAACCACCTATTTCATTTCAACTTTTTTAGTCCTTGTGGAAAATATTTTGAGTGTATACTACCAATACACCCTGGGTAAAATTCCCAATCCTGCATTAAGAAACCCTAAGGCCAATACAATCCACAATTAACCATTCTTTTGAGCCTTTCTGCAAAAAGATGCTACGTAAGTCATTACTACCTTTGACTGATTGTTCTTTAGCCTGTGTGCTTCATCCACAACAAGTACTTCCCAGTCAACAGACTGCAAGGTTCCAGCATCAATGCTACAGAGTTCGTAGGATGTCAGCAGAACGTGGAACTTCACCGTGCAGTCTTTGCGCATCCTGTACGCTTTTTTTCCACCTTTCACAGCATCATCCTCGAATGAGAATTCATGTTCTCTGTACACAAAAAATATTTATTTTTAATGAAAACAGAAAGACAACATATTACCATAAAATGTCTTGGAGCCACGTACATTTAACTAGACATAGACAAAACCAATTTGAAATTAGTGCTCTCTATTGTCGCCGCCATTGCTAGGGACCTCCTATTTGCCTTGCTAACCTTTTTAACAATGCTCTTGCACATTTTAACAGTACTGGCTTGAAATTGGCATCATGCAAATTTGAGATATCAGGATCATTATTATAACTATTAAACGCCCAAAATCGTAATTTAGCTACTTACCTAATGACAGCCCTGCTATCCTTATCGCCAATGTAAGTAACAACATAAAAATCTGGAGCCCAGAATTCAAATTCTCGCTCCCAGTTGATGATTGTTGATAATGGCGCAGAGATAATGAACGGGCCTTTTGAATGTCCCTAAAGTCAACAAGATGATCATGATTATTTAAAATAACGACTGACTGTAATAATGCTACAAAGAGTGTTATCAACATACCAAACTTGTCAGAGTAACTGACATGCATTTTACCATTAAAATTCTAAATTGTCGGACAGTCACCTGGAGTACACAATATCATTTATGTATGTGTATTTTTCTTTGCTGTCAGATTTTCACACTGTCAGGTTTCCCCCCTTTAACAGTACAGTGCACGCTGAAGACTTCTTACTGCATTTTCATGCACCAGAATAGGACATTACAAATGTAATTGAAGAAATTGATGATCATGAATGCTACATGACATCAGATGTGACATTTCTAAAAGGTTATGAACTAATGCAGATTTTAAAAATGTATATTTTGAGGTTTTTTTTAATTAGTATTGTAAAAGGGGGCGAGGGGTCTATGTGCATATCTCCTCCTTAAGCTGTAAAAAAAATGCTACAGGGTCTCGTTTTTCTAAACTGGCCTTCATCAGGATATTATTCTTGCGTATGATGTAGCGAATAATCGCCTATAATTCTCACGTTACTGTTATTAATTGACTGGAACAGTCGTAGCAGAGTCACCAATGCACAAGTTAACAGCATAAACCCCACGCCCCCCCCCCACCACCCACTGTTTATACTCTTGGGTGAAGAGAGGCAAACTTAAGTAAAGTGTCTTCGCCAAGAACACAAGCAATGCGATGAGCGTCAGCCTCAAACTCCCGATTTTACGATCAGAAGTTTAACACCTTACATGCTGCCCCACACACTCTTAGTTCATCAGTATATTTAACATTGACTAATGTGAAAATATTACACTTTTACTTTAAGTTATGTCCAGACTGTCAAATTATATTTGAGAAAACACATACGGCTTGACTAAATATAGGCACATCATGACCATATATGGGTACATCATGACTATATATGGGCAAATCATGACTAAATATAGGCACATCATGACCATATATGGGTATACAGATGTTTTTTGTCAAACAAAATTTGATAATCTGGACAGCGTTTTAACAGCAAAAAAAAAAAGGCATGCATCCTGACCTCCTTAAATAAACTGTATAGAAATGCAATAGTTTGGATCGTCTTGCCGAGTCCCATTTCATCTGCTAGGATAGTGTCTGTATTGTGAGCCCAGGAGTAACGCAGCCAATTAAGGCCTTCTAGCTGGTAACCATGCAGATTCCCGCCACACTCTGAGATGTAGTCAGGCTGCTGTTCATACTTCTTGCGTGGCTAGCATATAAGAAAATAAAACAGTTATGATATAATCTTATTACTTGCACAAGTGTGGTGGTTTAGCCATGGCTAATCATACTTTTTTTTTCTGATGTTGGCCTGTTTTTTTATATTCTACCAATCCTTTAACAAAGGTTTATGGTAACCACTCCTTTTCCTGGGCTTCAGTTTTCTTCTGGAATACCATACCTTTTGACACCCAGCAGACAATTTCAACACTTTAAAGCCCTTTTAAAAGTCCATCTCTTTAAACAATGTTTTCTTAAATTCAAGGCTTTTATCATTTAGCTTTAAGAATAATGAACTATATGAAGAGTAAATAATCATTACTGTTAACCAGAAAACAGATGAAATCACCACACAATCGCAACTCCATCACATCAAGCCCTATATGGTTTAATGTGATTAAGCCCTATATGGTTTAATGTGATGGAGTAGATGTCGAATGGCCGAGAATTTATAAGGTGTGGCGCAACCTACAGCCATAATTTCTGCGCTAGTTCAAACGGCACACTCGCCTCTGGTTCTGGTGGTAGAACAAGTCTTCTCGGAAAAAGGCTCAGTACAGAGAAGAACCCAGTACATCATTCGAGATGAGTAGGGGGATACTCCAGTGTACATCATTCGAGATGAGTAGGGGGATACTCCAGTGTACAAGTACAGACAGCCTCTGTGGTGGACAACGAGAGTTGCTGGTACCGGGTTACTGGGTAGCACAGACATGAAGCGACCCTTTGGGGGGAAGAAAGTCCTAGTCCTAGAGCATCTTATTTGATAGATACAGCGCTACATAAAAACTACACTATCATTATTATTATGTTATCAATATATAAAATAAAATAACATATATATAAAATAAAATAACTGATTACATCAACCACAGGTTCTGGTTTTTCTTTTTCTTTCTTCTCTTTCTTCTTGTCTTTATTATCTTCTTTTCCATCCTTCTTCTTTTTCTTATCTCTTTTCTTCTTCCCATCTTTTTGATCAATCTGTTCCCTTTTGCAAGAGAAAAACATTTTTTATGCTGTATTTAAAATTAAAAGGATAGACGATAAATTGTTATATAAAAACTTGTGTATGCCACTACAATCAAAATTGGGAATCATAGGTCCTGTAAGGTAATTATGAGCCCATAGAATTGTATATGTACTGTACATGGTTAGATTAATTTTCTTACTTTAAGTTGAAGAAGTAGTCAATCTGTTTCTGTCCATCTGGCATCTTTCGTACAGCATCCTCGAGTTCCCAGGCACACTGATCGTATGGCAGCATCCTCCACTTTATGAAGTACCAAATGGTTCCAGAACGATCTGTTTTCATGTTGATGATCCGTTGAATCTGGAGCCACTCTGGTTGGATGCCATAGCGGTAGAAACGATTCTCAAGATCAAGATGATCTGGGTCTCCGACATCATCCTCTGGTTTAGATTGTTCTTCCTTTTTCTTTGCTTCATTAGCGCCACCATAACTTTCACCATCCTCAAGTGGAGGCGGTTCCTCCATGTCAGTTTTGCGGATGTAGTTACGATGCATGATGGTATGAAAAACTTCAAGCTATCAGGAAGGAAAAAATACTTGTACTTGATATCAACTATCAACCCGCTGACCAGAATTTTGTTAAATATGTAAATTTGGACAACCATTAATGATTAAAAAGCAAAACCATACCTGTAACTCGGACACCCAATCACTATGCCAATAGGACATCATGTGAAACTTGCAGAAGAACTCGCGTGTTGGCTTTACACCAGGTTCTTTCTTGGTTGGACTGCCACACTGTGGGTCCAGGGGATCCATGTTCACTGGAGGTGTTGTCCAACGCCATGTCAATATCTTCTGCACTCTACCCTTTGGAGATTCACACTACAAGTAAAGAATGGCAGAAGATGTTTGTAAGGTTACACATTTTATCGGCTACCTAGCATGCTGATAAAGAACTAGAGAGATGGATACGCATTATTTCTGCTCCCTAGCATGCTGATAAAAAAAAAACTACAAATGGATACCCATTGTCTACTTTTATTTAGTAGACTTTTAAAAACAAGCCAGATAACATAATACTTTACCGAACATCTTGGACAGAGCCATTCACCATCTGGGATCTGCTTCAAGGGCGGGTTCAGACAGAAGATGTGATATGACAACGGACACTGATCGCAACACAACAGCTCACCACCATCGTGACACACACGACAGAACTCCATGTGTTCATCAGGCTCCTCCTCAGCTTGAATCCCTTCTCCTTCCTGTTGTAATTAAAAGATAAATTATTTTTAAAACTCAAAAAATTAGGAACAATATTCCAATTTTGTACATACCTCTCTCCAGCCAATTCAATTCATCCATCCACTTTCCCTAGCCTAACGTTTATCTGTTTCAAGTCTGTAGAATTAATTCCCTTTCTCAGGCCTGGATTTTTTTCTCACATAGCAGGTTCCCTTCCTACCCTGTGTAATACAAGGGACCTTTCCGAAGTGTCAATCAAACTTAATAACTAACCAATCAGATCAGGGCCACGATTATGGGCATATCTAACAAGCGCACATGTAGTCCCACAAACTCACATGTTTGTGCATGTTTTAACAATTTGTCAGTCTGATGGGACTTTAGCAACAATATTAAAGGGGAAGGGCTTAACACAAAGGTTCGTTCGTTACAAGACTCAATTAATTATTCATTTCCAGATTTTATAAGTTATCTTTTCTTTCATCAATACTGTCACAACCTCTTTTAAACTGAACATTAGTTTAATCATTTCTCCCCAAGTCTGTACAATCTCCTTCCTTAATATTAATAATTAATAAGTTTAATAAGCTCTCCTCAAATTGAAAAAATAAAAACGAGCATGTTGCTGTAAACACTTGCAAAAGGATACTTACACAGTGCGGGCAGCTCCACTTGCCTTCAGGGGCAGCCTCCAGCTCAGGATCAAGACACACAAGATGGTAAGCTCTGGGACAGGTGTCACACAAAATGATCTCTCCTCCTTGTTGACAGACCTCACAATAATCCTGATGGTCAGTCTGGTACATACAATAACCATCAAACAATAATGTTAAATTGCAATGGTGAACTTATCAAAAATTACTGGCTGTTTTAATATATGTTTTTGATTGCTACTTCTATTACAAGTTTTTTGAAGTTAACACTCCCAATAAAAACCCAAAGAATTTAGATTTTTTAACACTGTACTCCATATACAGCTTAGATTCAAAGCTTGGCATGTGAAGATGTTATATTTTCTAACTGTCACTACAAAAAGCATTAACATTTTATACTCAAATGTCATATTAATTAATTATTATTAATATTTCAGATTTGCATATTGATCATAGGTTAGAGGTCACAAGTTCATTACGATCAGCCAATCAACTGTGCAGGTTTACAGTACATTACGCTGGAGGTGTGCTAGTGAAAATTTAGAAAACATCTATTGCTTAAGCATTTGAGAAAACCTGAAACATGTTATTTAATCAGAAGTAAAACTTTATTAGTTAACACCTTTTTTCGAATGAGGGCAGTATAGTATGGACATGTGCTTGCATAATCAAAGGTGCAGCTTATCTGTCACTGTGACAAGTGCGCATGTTTTCACTTCCTTTGCATCAACTGTAAACTGTTTAATGAAAGCAATTTCAATAGGAATATGTTGGGAGAGTAGTTGCTAAGCTAAAGCCGGACACATACTGCCTGCGGCGGCAGTCAGCCAACGAGATTCTATAGAGAACGCAATGCGACAGCGTGCGCGTAACGGATCATTTTTAACAACAATCTGTTCAGACTGCCACCGCCAAATCAGCAGATGGTGTTGCAATTTCTCACGTTCAGAGGCAGCAGAGTTGGATTCATCAGCCACGAGTCCGTCGCATATTGCAGCGAGTGCCCGACTTTAAAGGGAGGGGGAAGTATAATGTATGTTGATTGCAATTAATTATAGTTGAAGTATAGTATATACTCTATATATGTATATATAGAGTATGTATTTCACAGCAGCTTATGCATATGCATACCATTATTTTAAATAAATATATATAATTATCCGATTAAACAATATTGTGAGGCTTATCTTAATGAAATATTGATTAACTACTATGATGGCAGTATTTTGAAATATGACGTGCAGCCATGCTTGTTGGGAGAAGGAAATAAAACATGATTAGGCGAAAATTAATGTATGATCAAAATTTGCATGCATAAAAAAAATAAACAAGTCTTTTTTTTTCATCAAGCAACAAAAATAAATGTACCTCGTAGCCATCTTCACCGGGAAAACTTGTTGTTTTCTTTTTACGTTTCTTCTGCGGTTTGCGGGGTCTGGGACGACGCGCTGTCGTCTTACTCACCACTGTGTCGGAAGGTGCGGGGGCTTCTTCTTCCAGTAGTTCAGTTTCGCTATAATTACTGCCACTGTCACTCTGCAACGTGATCAGAGAATTGGCGTTTTTTGCATCGTCAGAAAACTGACTGAAATTTTGGTGGATTTGTCTTCAAAATTATATTAATTTAAACGCGTTTAAAATATATCTGTGTTCTTGCCCAAGACACAGTAATTGTTGAAATTCTCAAACAGTAAATTATTAATTAACTTACATTACTATATAGAGATTAATAATATCACTGCTCTGTCATCATACCCCCTGTATTCCTGTATAACTAGCCAAGGATCATAAACATGGCACTATGTTTTATTTGATGGTTGTAGAAAATTTGAGTGTTTTCTAATATGCTGTTCCATCCAATAAAACACTCCCTCTTCTCTATACATTAGGTCTAAATCTACACTACATGAGAATATTAATCAGGAGAATAAATGTTCAATTAATATTAACAAGTCAACTATGGTGACAACACTGCGTCAGAGGTCATGCACTTAGTTTGGTAAATGGGAGCATGCTAGTAAATAATAACAAGAATAATCGCTTAACAAAGAGAAGGAAGTAAGTAGGAGTTCAGAATTGGAGAAACATAAATAATAATAACATCCAATGACAAATTTACAAAATCTCACCAGAATAAAAAAAAAAATTGTATATAAATTTCATGTATTGTATCCAAGACAAATTTAAAGTATTTTGTTGTGGGACAATTAATTTGTCAAATATTTCTTTATCTCTTTTTATACAAATTTAAATTCTTTTATTCACTGTCCAACAAATAGGTGCAGTTTCAATGTTATTACCTCCATCTTTAAAATTGTAAATGAATTAAAATTATGTTTCTCAATTCATTAACTATTATTAATCGGATTCATTTGTTTTTTTGTTTCTCCATTTTGTACAGTACTTACTGAGGATGCTTTTCGTTTTCTTCCTCCAAGCTTAATTCTAAGAGGAGCAACTTTTCTATTCTTCTTTTTCTTCTTTACTGTAAATAAGAAATAATGTGATGCAGGCTTTAAAGAAATAAATCAATATCTTCGCCACGTCAACCAAATATTTTAAAAGATTATTTTAAGGCTGTGACTATTGTTACACCAGTCTTAAACTGATTTTCTATTTTTTGTTCCTTTTTCTTTGTCTTCTTCATCTTATTTGTTTCTGTTATTCATTCAACTTCTTTTGGACATTTGTTGAAAGTGCATAGAGACCTTGTAAATTTATGCACTTTACAAGTCTACATCCATTACCATTACCATTCAAACCAATTCCTAATTCTGATTGGATGTTACTGTCCTAATCCATTCCATACATGAAATAACATCCAATCTGACACTGGTATAAGATGGGTGTAGAATAGCTAATGCTTTAATTTTAAGTCAAGAACATGAAGTCTATACATCTTGGTCTCATCTTAATTTGAACATGTTCAACGCACTGATCTCTACTATAATAGCTATATTGTTCATTGGCCAATTCTTGTACAGAAAAAAGTGAGGCCTCCGAAGCCCTGTTGGAGGGCTTAAGTCTGTGTCCACACTATCAAATTTTATGTGACAAATAACTGTAAGCTCTGTCCACACTATCACAATTTACGTGACAAATTTGTGTGATGCGCCCACAGGGGCATGATGAGCCCATATATGGGCATGATGAGCCCATATATGGGCAGGCTTTAAAGAAATAAATCAATATCTTCGCCACGTCAACCAAATATTTTAAAAGATTATTTTAAGGCTGTGACTATTGTTACACCAGTCTTAAACTGATTTTCTATTTTTTGTTCCTTTTTCTTTGTCTTCTTCACCTTATTTGTTTCTGTTATTCATTCAACTTCTTTTGGACATTTGTTGAAAGTGCATAGAGACCTTGTAAATTTATGCACTTTACAAGTCTACATCCATTACCATTACCATTCAAACCAATTCCTAATTCTGATTGGATGTTACTGTCCTAATCCATTCCATACATGAAATAACATCCAATCTGATACTGGTATAAGATGGGTGTAGAATAGCTAATGCCTTAATTTTAAGTCAAGAACATGAAGTCTATACATCTTGGTCTCATCTTAATTTGAACATGTTCAACGCACTGATCTCTACTATAATAGCTATATTGCTCATTGGCCAATTCTTGTACAGAAAAAAGTGAGGCCTCCGAAGCCATGTTGGAGGGCTTAAGTCATAAGAGCTTAAGTCTGTGTCCACACTATCAAATTTTATGTGACAAATAACTGTAAGCTCTGTCCACACTATCACAATTTATGTGACAAATTTGTGTGATGCGCCCACAGGGGCATGATGAGCCCATATATGGGCATGATGATCCCATATATGAACATCATGAGCCCATATATGGGCATGATGATCCCATATATGAGCATGATGAGCCCATATATCGGCATGATGAGCCCATATATGGGCATGATGAGCCCATATATGGGCACGATGAGCACATATATGGGCATGATTATTACCATATATGGGCATGATGAGCCCATATATGGGCATGATTATTACCATATTACGGTCATATTATACCAAAATATGGGCATAAATCATGTTGTCCTATAGAAGTTAATAGTTTGGTCAGACCTTAAGAACATCCTCATTGATTTTTTTTTAAATAACTATTTATTATTCTTACCTTCGTCTTTGAAAGGGTTGATCAATGAAAATTCCCTCCAGAGGGCAGCAAGCAATGTGATCATCTTTGTTGGTGTGATCTTCGGACACTTTTCCTGTATGAGCGGTCGGATTCCAATACAATACTGTTTATAGGTTGTCATCTTTTCATAGTCCTCATCTTCATACTCCATCTCAAACTCTTCGTAACCAAACTCATGCATCAGCTGAAGAGAGCTCTTCTGTTCTTTTGGTTCCTGGGGAAAAAACAAGTATTGCGATAGTATAGCCAAAAAGAAAAAAAAAAAATCAATTCTGGTGCGAGCTGCAGAAAGCAGTTGCACTACCATATTTTAGAAAGACCATAAACATTCATTGGACTGATTATGACAACAATGATTACAATGATGATGATAATATGATGTAAAAATATAATGATAGTAACAATTAATATACTAAACTGTTATATAACAATTTGTATTAAAAAACCATAGTTCAACTGAATACAATTTACTGCACAGTTTCAGTTTAGGTCCTGTGTGTACAGTTTAACAAAAAAAAATTAAGAGAGATCATACAACTTATTTCTATATTTTGCGATATCTCTTACAACATTTAAATCTCAAGTATCAAGTATCACGTAACTGACTGATTATGACAACGATGATTACAATGATGATAATATGATGTAAAAAAAAATGATAGTAACAATCAATATACTAAACTGTTATATAATAATTTGTATTAAAAAACTATAGTTCAACTGAATACAATTTACTGTACAGTTTCAGTTTAGGTCCTGTGTGTACACAGTTTAACAAAAAAAAATTAAGAGAGATCATACAACTTATTTATATCTTTTGAGATATCTCTTACAACATTTAAATCTCAAGTATCAAGTATCACGTAAACTTTATTCCAAATCAATTCAAACATCACATAAAATATGAATATCAAGTAATATAGCAAAAATGAAGAACAAAGATGTTGAAAAGAAATGGAAAGGGGCATTCAAAACAAGCCGAGCTTTTTACAAAACAGAAGGGCCGACTTAACTAACTTAACTAAAGGTAAAACTATAAACCGCCGGCATTTCTACAAAGACTTCAGAATCGGTAACTTATAATAATAATATCACGAATTTATAAGGCACCAATTTCAAGAGATCAAAGGTGCACTATGCAAGTGTAATACCATCGGAAAACAAAAAGGTCTTAAGTTGCGATTTAAAGTTGCAGAGAGTTAATAAGTAGTTATAGTAATTAAAAATTAAATTTGAATAAAATTTTTTAATTTCTAGTACTTAAATCGTTTCGAATTGAAGACAAAAATGTTAATAATAATTGCACAGATGACAACTCATAAATCTATTTTAAAAGCTTAACTAAACAATTAAAAAATAAAAATATCTGAACAATTTATTTAATAAAAAAAAAAGGACATATTTTTACCAGAGACAGAAAATACATACTTTTCCTTTTGACGATGTAGGATCTGATTCGGTATGTTACATAAAATATACAATATCTTACCTTTGGAACAGAATCTTTTTTCTTTTTTTTGGGCTTGACCTCTTCATCAACACCTACCGGTAGATCAACATCACTACCTGCTGCTGCTGCTGCGACCTCCTCATCCTGTAAACACACCAACATCACCAAATTAAACAAATTTTTTTATATTGTAAGCATTTTTTTTGTTTTTTTGTTTTTTTGGTGAAAGGCCCTCACTCGACAGTGATACAGTAAGTTCATTTTGGGGTGTATTGTCTCATACTTTTGTTTGTATTTGTTACTTACTGATCCTTTTATTGTAAATTTTTTGAGACAAATAAATGATATGAAATGAAGCACTATTATACTTTGTCTGTTCCTCTTAATGCAGGTTTTATGTATACTTCCTGCCAATTTATTACGACTATCTTGATAATGAGAAAACAAATTTAAATTTTTTTTTTACAGTTTTTACAGCCATTCTTTCCAACAAACTTTGGCTACACTAGAAATTAAACAATTGAAAATCTCATCTTAATTTGATGGTTTGTAACAAGCAAATTTTTAAGTGCAATTAATAATATTAATTAAAAATTACAAATTTAGTATTATTTTTATTTATTGGTAAAGACTGCCTTACCCCACTGGCTTTCTCTTCTCGTTTCCTTTTCTTTCCTCCTTTTCCTTCTTTCTTTTCCTTTTTCTTGTTCTTTCTTTTCTTCTTCTTGGGAGGTGTATCTCCATCGACTATAAGAAGAAAACACCGGGATTTTATTGAGTAAAATTCACCAGATTTGTATGGGAATTAGATCTGCCATATTTTTCCCTTTAAACTCACAAATGTACAGTTTTTTTTCCCATAATAAACTTATAATGAGTTCACTGGCGCCAAGTTGAGTCAAATTCAAAATGCTGTGATCTGAGCTGTTTATTTTTTCTTTGTAAATAAATATTGTTTCAATAAAAAAACTATTTGAAAATGTTGATACAAATCAGTGATATTTTTCTCCATTGTTTTATATATACTGAAGGAAACCTTCTTTGAGTAATGAGGAAATAATACTGAAAATGGACTGAACTGTGGTTAGTACCTAGTGACCTAGCATGACTCTCTGCTTTGGACATTGCTTTTGAACGTACCAGTATACATATGAATGTTTTGTTAAACTTGTTGAACACAAAGAATTAATAATAGATAGCATTATACATACTATAGGGCCTAGCACATATATATATATATATATATGTATATATATATAAAAATTTAAAAAGGCAAATGGGAAAAACCCATAAAACAGCAAACAGCCACATAATGCAAAACAAATTAAAATTAAAACGGAACAGTAGAGAAAATCCGATCAGAATGACAAAATAGCATCCACTGGAAGGAATCCCAATACCTGCAGACGGATCCGTTTCGGCCTTCCAGGCCTCATCAGTGCAGCTAGGGTACAGACCCAAACGAAACGTTCGACCAGCTTAGGTAGGGCCCAAAAT